TCATCGTTCACTCATCAGCCGGCGCGCGTCAAAGCATGCCAATTGCTCTACTTTCAATATCCACCCCTCGCACACACGCTCATACGATGCCGCTTATGACACGTCAGTGATTTGGCATGAAGTGTCACTAATTCCACAAAACATATTGCACGCCTTCTGTGCCGCATGTTGCATTCACTCATTGCAATACGATTGTGCGAGTGTGTAGCAAATGTTGCAGGAATATATAGCGACAGCAACCCTATTACAATCGGGGGACTAAATGTACTTACTAAGTATGGATACAGCCCGATTCAATTGAATAGGTGCACGTATTTTCCTCAAGAGCTTATATCTGGACATGTGGGCATCAGAGAAGTTTCTTATTGACCTGATTTTGGTGGTTGAATCTAAATAGTCCTTTCCTTGTGTTGAAGCCACTGTACCTTTTCAAGCGAATCAAAATAATAAGTCTAATTTTTGTGTAGTTTGATAAAAAGTGGAATGAAATACCTAAGTAAACGAGGTGTTTTCTTCATCTTCATGTTCACCACTTTTCTTCAAAATTAATCGTTCTTCAAAACGAGACTACTCTGATGCCCACAAGTTCAGATATAACCTTGGATCTTGAGGAAAATATGTGTACCTATTCAAGTGAAGTGGGGTGTATGTAAGTATGTATCTATGAACAACTAGGAATGCCAAGAACTGAACTGATTTACACCTTAAAATGAGATTCGGAAATTTTGATACAATCAAAGAGTACGATTTCGACTTGGCAACGGCGACTGAATATTAGAAATACACTTTTTTTATGTTACTGCGGGAGAGTATTAAATTTTCATTGTTCATTCACGCAAATTCCACGCTATTTAAGAAGCTCCGAGTTGGTTTCACTCTATTAGGCAGTGAGCAATTTTCCGAAGGGTTGGCTGTCGAAGCATCCCTCATCTCGCTCGTCGATAGCTTTGTGCACCCCCTCGCGCCAATATTACACAATCTGTTCTATTTAATTTAATTATAATAATTTTACGCCTCGCTAACACTGTCACTGTACGCTACCAAGCGAATATGTATGTATATCCTTGTAACAGGTGAAGAGATTCTCATGCCACTGACTACTGACTTTTTATTGTTTGCGGTCGTATGATTCATTGTTTACTAACAAGTGTAATGTTTTGTTTTCGTTTTTGGTTTTTTGCTGCTGCAGACAATTAGGTCCAGGGATTATCTGGTATATTTTGGAGAATCAAGGACAAGTTGATGCTAATAGCGATGATATACGGTTAGTACTTTAACCCTTTTTGTAAAGGTGGTACAGTAAAAGCATAAAAAGACGGCAACGTTGATCCGCATTACCGACGTAGTTGATCTGATTGACCAATTTAGCCGGACAAAATTCATTGCAAAATTTTGAGATAATTCAATATGGTTTAAGTCAACAGATGCCCACTGACCTAAGAGAAATGCGATAATTTTTGTTTTTTTACATTAATTTTGAAATTTTTTTTTACGTGCAGATGTGGGAGAATTAAAATTATATATGTACCTATTTGAAACGGAAGTGGTTTTAAAATTTACGCTTGATTGACAAAAGTGCATATTTTCTTTTAACTTTGTCGAAGTATACATTTGATAAAGAAGAACACAAAATTATGATATCCTTTACTAATACTGCATCAACATACGCGTAAAGGGATAAAATGATAGGTTTTTATTTGGCAATTTGGCGTGACACCGCTCTGTATTTTTTATATTGTTTACCCCGGCTATCTCACTTTACATATCCGAACAGCTTAGACTTCGCACGAATTTGCATCTATGTATTTTAAGGATCTAAAGAAATGTAATTGTTCTAATCATTCACCAAAGCGAGCAAGTGGCCTGGCAGTCTGGCAAAAGAGTAGATCAGCTCAAGCAACGAATGTTGTCATCATCTGCTTTTTTTCCAGAGTGTCAGGCCACTTGCTCAATTTGGTGAATACCACTAATGTAAGCAAATCAAAGGGGTTAAAATTTTTTAAACATTTTAAAATCATATATTCAATTTTCGCTTTATTTAAATATAAAACATTTTGATAATTTTACACACATTAAATTTTTCTTTTTACTTATAAATCAATGAAACGAAGAATTTTCAAATTTTTCGTGGTTTTTTGAAAAATTCTTCTAGAACTTCGTCAACTGAAAAATTTATATCTTTGTGAATATTCATAGATGCTAGATTGTTGAGTCTTTCTTGACATGCTGTATTTCGCAAGTAGGTTTTAATTCTTTTCAGTCATGAAAAGCTTCGTTCAGGTGTGGCTATTGAAACGGGCAAAAGTGCCAATATACGTAAAATCTTAAAAACATTCCCAAAAGACGTTGTATTAGCTACTTGTAATGCTTCGAGAGCATTTCGAAAATGTTCGTGTGAAACTCGTTTTTTCCACATTTTTACCTCCAGAAGAAAGTTTTGTTTCAAGCAGTCGATTACTTTTTCATAGNTTCACATTTTTACTTCCAGAAGAAAGTTTTGTTTCAAGCAGTCGATTACTTTTTCATAGCAAACAATTCTTCAGTTTTTTTTTTCGTTAAAATCATACTTTGGGAACAAAACACTAAAATTATTTAAAACTGATTTATGGTTTAGGAACCGGCTTTTCAAATGAGCAATATATGTATCAAGGAAGGGAATGTAAAAAGCAATGCGATAGTATGCCTCGGCGTCTCCGGTTTTCACATTAAAGCGATTCTTTTGGCGACTGCTGTATCGCGGTACTTTGATTTCTGTACCTAGGTTGGTGCATACTTCTTCTACATGTTCGAAAAGAAAAGCAAGCAAGTTTTTTCTGCATCTTGTCGCATTTCTTCAAATTCCTTTAAAGCGTCGTCGGCTAAGCTCATTGCTTCTGTAAGATCGTCATCAGGTACTTGTAATTGCCGGCTAGCAAAGCAACAACAATATATAAAAAAGCAAATGCTTGGCTGTTGTCGCTGTGCTAACAGTTTTTCAAACCCTGATAATTTCTATAGATATTCGCACGATACAGATAATTTTTACGGTATTTCCCCCGTGACAAACAACACTTTTTGACAATTGGAAGAAACACAACTTCGAAAGTCTTTTTTTAAACGAATTTTCATTTTGCTACGTTAGAGCCGTTGCCGAGAAACTTATGGATACATATACATATACACAAAAATTGCTCGGTTAAGGTAATTAGAATAAGGGCCAACATTTTCCGCAAAACCCCAACAATGTCGACTGAAAGCCATTACCGCCAATGACATGCCCATGTTAAAGCCATGACATCCAGAAGCGAAAGGTTAACCGCTTTTCGATTCAACATTTATTTCCGAGGTAGTCGTGTTTTTGCTGGATATGTACATTAGGGTGCCCAGGGAAAATGTTTTTTTTTTCGGAAATTCCAAGACCCTATCCCCTAATTTTATTCGTTTTTATTCGAAATATTATTGCCTATTTTTATTGATTTTTTAAGGGTCATTTAGAGTTCGCGACCTGTCGATTTAGGTCAGAAAATAGAATTTTGTGGATTTATGAGTTTTTGAATGACTATTTTTGATTCGATTTCAAAGATCGAACATGAGCTGAGAATAGGATATATAAAATTATATTGTCGGACTAGGCTTGTTGGTTTTTTTTACCGGTAAATTTAAAAAAAAACCCACATTTCTCTCAAGTTTTTAATTTTGACCAACTATAATTTCTACAATTTCAAAATATGGACTACTATCTAAAATTAAATCTATTATAAAATAAACTGATACCTCATTTAATGCAATCGCATAAAAAGTGTCGAATTTAGGCAACTTTTCTCAAATACGGCCTTGAATTTATATGTGTGTATGTACCGGAATTTCAGATTTTTTGAGCAGTGTGGTTANATAAAATAAACTGATACCTCATTTAATGCAATCGCATAAAAAGTGTCGAATTTAGGCAACTTTTCTCAAATACGGCCTTGAATTTATATGTGTGTATGTACCGGAATTTCAGATTTTTTGAGCAGTGTGGTTAAGGAGTTCATCAATATTTATTCAAAATTGTTATATACAGTCGCTCTTTAGCAAAGAAGTGGTTTTCAGGAAATTTTAGGATAATGAGGGTAGCGCCGCCCACTCATATCATATATGTGTATCTCAAAAACTACTTGACCGATCTCAACCAAAGAAAGGAAGACTTCCAATGTTCCCATTCGCAATTTACGTCGGTTCTCAATATTCTATATAAGAATTCCAAAATATGTCAAATTTGCTCCTTTTAGTAGAGCCCTATCTGAGCTAAATGATGTTCCTGATTTGGCGTTCTCCTAGACTTTTAGAGCTGGAGTTCTACAGTCAGTACGGGTTTGTGTTCTAAACAAATAAATACCCTATAAACATTTTGGCGAACATTCGAGAATGACCTTCGATATCCAATATGCATTCCGAACTGAGAACGAACTAATAACCAACCTTAGTTTTCAAACGTTCATAGTATATTGGAAATACACTCGATATGAATTTGAAAAAAAAAACATTAAAACCATAGCAACAAGAGAGAGTGTGAAATCCAGCACGTTCTCGTAGGGAAATATAAGAAAATCGCTCTCTCTCATAAAAATTTCAATTCGATAATGGGCGAAGGTTCCGTTTTCCTGTAGAATGGCCTAGTTCTCGAATCGAATAGTAACCTATTTCACATTTTATATCGAAGGTGAGACTCGAAAAAAGATTTGTTTTCCAATAAATTTCGAATTTTTAACCAAACCCAATGTTTGTTGGGTAAATAAATAAAACAGAATTTCCCGTTCTTATAACAAACACATAGTGACAGCGTTAAGAAAACCTTCGTATATGTTTGGAGAAGAAATTTTTGAATAATCTCATTGCATTTATCGATATAAATAGTTGAACAATCATCACTATCCACTTTTTTATTTTGTGATTAAAAAACAAAAACTACACATATACCAACAAAATGAAAACTGAGTTTTAAGGTAAAATCATTGCATATTCTCCACTGTTCCGGCCCCTTAACTTAAGCTGTGGCTATAGGGCGATACGAAGTCCCTTTGAAAAGCCGCCGGGTGGAGATGATGATGGCCCATGGCAGCCGGATGATGGTGTCCGTTCATGCCAGCATAAATCTCGGCCGATCGCTGCTTATGCGTCGGCATTGGAGCGCCTGTCAGGAGTTCGGTCATGAAGCCGATGTAGGTGATTGCCAGGCGTAGTGTTTCGATGCGCGATAGCCTTTTCTCGTAGGCGAATGTGGGAACCTTGCGTCGCAGCTTGTCGAAAGCTTCATTCAGATTGAACATCCGACGGCGTTCGCGAATATTGGCCGCTCGTCGCTGGGCCATAGATGCCACTCGCCGGCGCGTCTTCTTCGTTGGATTACCATTGCTCGATTCTGAATTGTTATTGTTGCGATTGTTCGACGAACGCTGACTGCTGACTAAACTGGTGACCTGTGAGCGTTGCCAAAGGGCTGCGGGCAACATG